CGGCCGGCAATTCACAGATCAGGCATCGGGGCGCTAGTAGTTAGTAATTAGACCAGATTCCGTTTATTTACGCGTTTCAAAGCATAGCGGTGTCTATATGCCCTACTGTAAGGGTTTCATATCGGGGCCTTAGTAACTACATCGAATAATACAAAAATACATACATACCTACATACACACAATGTGAGGACTCGGGGTGAAGCACCGCTCAGGTTCCGCAGCTAGGACCTGCAATTTGGGGTGCCGCCTGCAGGTTTCATGCTACTGTGACTGTAAGGTAAAAAGGAACAAGACAAGTGCAACGAAGCTGTGATTCAGTTCCATCAGGTCGTGATGCCGACCCGTATGCCGGGACGCCTGTGTTCTGCCGGTTTTCTATGGATTTCCAGCGTTCTGCCGTCCTGGCGGCTTTGGGTCTTTGGGCTCCGAGTTTTGGGGATCAGGGGGTCGGGCCTGGGGTCTAAGGCTGAGGCTTCATGCACTCTGAAACTCCCTCTCATTCTGCAAGGCCCCTGGACCCAGCGGGTCCTTGATGAGGAATGCAGCTGAAGTTGTCGTGATCGGGATGTACGGTCAATAATCGCCTTTCGTACGTCCGGGAACTTGAACTCAGTTCCCTAAAGCACGATGATGTAGTGTCGGTCGGGCCCAACACGCGCCGCAATCTTTGTGAAGAGCTCTTCTCGTGCACCACCTTGAGTTCGAGGTGAAACGAAAACTAGTATTCTTATGTTCATGATTACTGTTGTCATTCTGATTCTTAGTACTATAACTTTTGTTGTTGCTATCATCACTGCTACTGTTACTACTAGTACTGTTGCTACTACTTTTCTTGTGCTTGTTGTCAGTTCAATTTTTATTTGCATCAGTATACTTATGTCTATAGCTGTTATTATCACGATTATCTGTTGGTGTATTTTTCAAGCTTCCCGTAGTCCTTCGAGGGTGCTTCGATGGAGCCCTTCATTACGGCAGAGAGAGCCTCAAACCCCGAAGCCCAAAACCCTAAATCCCAAACCCTAAACCATCAACCCAAAACCGTAAACCATTAACCTTCAACCCGAAAACCCTAAACCCCAAACCCTGGAGCCCGACACCGAACCTCAAGCACTGCATAAAACGCCGGGTGCAGATACTATTCCATGGTGGATTCCTGATGTTCCATAGCGGATTCCTGAGGGTATACCCGAAACCCTCATTCTACTCACCTTTGCCTTTATATGAAACCTTGTCAGCAACCCTCATCCTCACCCTTAAGTGGACCTTCCCAATCATCGAGGATGCTATACTTGACCCTAAAAGCCCTAAACCCTAAGCCCTAAACCCTGAACCCTCAACCCGAGATTTGCCGAGAGTGTTTGCTGCAAGGCCTGAGGGTGCGCGCGACCTCCTCCAGAGCTGTGCAGCCGGTGCCACCCACGAGGTGCCTTTGGGGCCTCTGCTTCGACGGGCTCAAAGGGTTTTGTGGTGTTTTGGAAGGTTGCTTTGCGGGCTGCTACAGGGGGCTTAGGGTTCAGGGATGTTATCTTTATCTGTGACCTGTCCAGGGTCTTTGAATTTGGATTATCTGGGCTTTGGGTTTGAGAAGCCTAGGGATGCGGAACCCATTTTGAGGCTCGTAACTCATTACTGTTGAAGAACACGACTGAAGGCTGTTGATCAATTCCTCCGACCCCTTTATGTAAGCATACACTTCCAAAATACGCAAAGCTGCAAAGAGCGAGCCCTAAACTCAAAGCCCGAAGCTTGAAAGGCCGTCACGCGGTAGCCCGAACGCAAGTTTAGGTGAGGCCCTCATCAGGGAATTCCGGCTGCGCACTGAGCCCGAGCATGCTGGCTCCACCATAGGTGACACAGGGGCCTTCATAATTACCTATACTATTTTGGGGGTTCCTCATTCCCACCTAAACCCTAAACCCTAAGCCCTAAACCCTAAACCCTAAACCCTAAACCCTAAACCCTATTCTAATTATTAAGGCCCCTACATTAGCACTGATGATAGGAAAAGGCTCAAGCGAAGAGTTCTATTGTACTCAGGTCAGGAAACAGAAGGCAGAGAAGAAACACAGGAGGTAACATGTCCAGGCAATCCTGATCCTATAACCCCAAAATGGTAGGATTCATATAAAGGACCCCAATACAGACCCAGAGTTTCTTAATCAGGTTCCTATATTATATATGTATATATATCTTTGAAGCCTGAGGTCTCATGAGCACGTGTATATGCCTCAGATTGCACGCTTGCTGCCTTCGTAAAGTTCCAGGAGAAGGGTAGTATCCTGTCTGCAGGCGGGGCAGCCATGAGAAAATGTTAGACCCGGCGAGGCACAGCATCTTACCCCCAAGCTTCAAACTTCATGCGTCCTTGCAGATATTTCTTTTCCAGGAGATGAGCCAGAAGCTATCCGCACTCTCCAAGCTGCTAGCCAAGACGGGCTCGGGGGGCTAAGACATTCGGGACGGAGGCCTCCTGATCCTGTTGAGAAGGGGTGTTTCCAGAGCAGCATCGTAAGAAGGAAGTTAAGAGAGTTGCCCTACTGTACAGGGACTTGCATCATTAGGAATACTATCCCGTGATCGAATATTGGAAATCTAGTAATACGAGCTTATCATTCTGGTGCAACATGGCTAGTCATGACAGCTCCTTACAACACGTTATCCGGATTGTTAAGGCCTGTAAATTTGCCGGTAATTCGTTCTGCGACAAATGAGCCGGGATCAGGTCATTGTTTGCTCTTGTCTTGTGTCACCCAGAGACTCCAAAACCCCTTAATATAAGGAATATACCTTAAATTATAATAGGATCCCTAATATGATTTAAGGTATATTCCCTAATTAAGGGGTTTTGGAGTCTCTGGGCAACTGTGACGGTGAATGCGAGCGCAGTGTTCGCAGATGTGCTACTCGTACTGTTTACACACACGAAAAGGGAAACGCGTGTTGGTCTGGATCAGCAAAGCCTTAAGCCGTGCAGGAGAGGGACATCGAATCGCTTTGCCATTGCTCTCGGGTTTAGGGTTTAGAGACGCAGGGGCTTTACTGCTGTCCGAAGCTTTAAACCCTAGGGGTCTACTCTCCCCGCTTTCCCCCTAGCACTGAGCGCAAGAAGTGAGGTCTTCGAAAGGCGAGCTTTGCGAGGAGCAGGCGCGGCCCTGAAGCCCTCGCGACAGGCCCATAAGAGCCCAAACTTAAGCCCTGCACCCTCATATCCTTAATCCTCTACAGCCAAGAGGGCTTTGTCTGTGTTATGGTTCTGAGGGGCGTTCGGGTTGCTTTTAGTCCTTGTGGCGTAGATATGGGGATCGGAATACTTGCTGAGTATCCCCTCATAGCCCATTACCCCAAGACCCCGTTAGAACCATTAAGGCCCTCGCACGAAACAACTTTCCGGTGGATTGCGGTGCAGAGGATTTGCTGTGGGACTTCTCGGAGAGGTTCTGTGAGTCTTGCCCTCCTAGTCACCTAGTCTCTAGAGGAATTGTTGGTTTGATGTCTGAGAAGTTCAGTTTGGGGTGTGCTGCCCCTACGTGGGGTTTGCACTTCATGGTTTGGCGGGGCTTTAGAACTTCCTTCGGCCTCAGCAGTATTGCTGCTGCTGCCACTGCCACGGTTGCTGTTATGAATTGCAGCTGTTGCTATGCTGACTACTGCTACAGCAGCAGCAACAGCAGCTATGGCTGCTACTGCGGCTTCTGTTTCTGCTGCTGCTGCTACTATGACTACGAGGACGAACTACTCCTGCTGCTGCTGCTGCTGCTGCTGCTGCTGCTGCTGCCGCCTTACCACCAGTACAGTAGCCACTACTACTACACTCCTGCTTCTGCTGCTGCTGCTACTGCTGCTGCTGCTACTACTACTACTACTACCACCACTACTACCACCATTACTACTATCAGTAATGTGGTTACAGAGCTTTTATTTCTCTATCATGACGACCATGTCTGCTATTATCATTAAGACTACTGGTCTAATCATATTACGCAGCATCACAGTCATTGTATACAGACATCTGAAGCACAAGCGCATTGTCTTCTTGTCGTTGGCAACGTGCTCGCGCTTATGGGGAGTCTAGCTTTGGCCCGGTCCGGCTGCTAAATTCCGAGCGGTCCTCCTGCCAAAACCTGAAGGAAATCTGGCTTCCCAGGTGGAACTCTGGCAGAGTGCTGTGACAGGAGCTCAGGAAGCAGGCTGAAGGTAGAAGAAGGTTTAGTATTTCGGGCTGGCTGAACCTCCGCCCTATGCCCCAAACGTGAACGCCGGAACCCCAGCATAGTATCCCGTAGAGTATTCCTTAAAGTACCCTTAGAGTATTCCTTATAGTAGCCCTTAGAGTATTCCTTCTAGTATTCTGTATTAAGTATAGCAGTCCCCAGACTCCCTTAGCCAAGCCTCAGCGAAGCGGCAGTCCCAAAGACTCCGCTTGAACCCCTGAGCAGCAAAGCACGCACCCCAAACCCTGGTTTTAGGCCTTTAGGGCTTTAGGGCTTTTAGGGCTTTTAGGGCTTTTAGGGTTTTGAGGGTTATGGACCTCAGAGCGGAAGCAGAAACGTAAACCACGCAGGCCACATCCGAACCCCCATCCTCAAGGCTTGCGGTTGTAGGAGGCAGGAGGTTCTGGAGTCTGGAGATGCCTGGAGCGGAGCGTGAGCATGCTTCGCTTACGTCTTCTTTGGGTTCGCAGGCGCCAGCTGCCGCAAAGTCTTAGCTGAAGCCACAGGCCTTGTTGTTCTTGAGCCCAGCAGCAGCGGTTGAATAGGGTCTCGAATGTTTGGCAAATATTCACCCCAGGAAACTCTGTTTGCAGCTCAGACTCTGTATTACACGTCCTGATAGTCTCATAGCCTTACCCGAGGCTCCATGTCCCAAATTCTTACATAAGCCTAACTCCCACAACCTGCAACCCCTAAACACCAGACCCTGTACGCCTGCGTTACTGCTGACTCCGAAAGCAAAAACTGCGAGCGTCACAATCACGCCGCCGCGTGCCCTCCGCTGGCAGCATGACGGTGCCTGGCCTTCACCAGGCCTCTGCAACAGTAACAAAGGGGGTATAGGTAGGGTTTCAAGCACAGCAGCTACTTGTTCGAAAAATCCTGGGCCCGAATCCTACGTGGGCCGTACTTCCAAAGCGAATCATCACTGCTTGCAGATCATAGTCGCTGTTGCTGTTCTGTGTTGGGAAGGGTGCCGTGTCCCAGCGACACTCCCTACTCTCGCCCGCTGTCGCTGCCAGGCAGCTGCTGCACGCAGCGAGCTGATGTCGAAGGCCGGTCAGATTCGAGTTGAGGCATGCAGACATGAAGCTCACATCGGATTCATGTTTTACCCAGGCACTCTACAGTTTCTACCCTGAACCAAGTACGATCAAGTACGTGAAGCTCCCGACAGAGACTGGGCGTGCGTCCTTAATCCCAAACCGTACTCCTAAACCCAACACCATAAACCCCAAACCCATTCCTGGACCCTAAACCCTAAACCCTAAACCCGAAACCCAAAAACCCTAAACCTCAAAGCCAGGCATCGGCAGGATGGCGGGGTGCGGAGAGGTGCAGAGGGGCAGGGCATGTTGCATTATACTATCGGTTTCGGGTCCAGGCTTTAGGGTCCCAAGGCGCTATTCCGATTGCAAACGGCCCTAAACCCTAAACCCTGAACCCTAAACCCTAAACCCCGGAATCCCTAACCCGAAACCCGCAGACCCCATGGAATTTATATACTACAATCATAGTATAACATACGCCAAGGCCCTACGAGACCTTTTCGGGTGGGGCTTCTGAGGTCCAAAACCCCAATTTTTCGGGGCCCAGGCCCTCAAAGAAACCGGGTTCGTTATTATTTTCAGTTTGTTAGTATTTGTAGTGCTATTCGCATTATCATTATTGCCATCATTTTTCATTCTGTTGTTGTTTGTAGTATTACTAATATTTTCATCATTATTCTTTTTCTGTTTGTTATTATTTGTATTATTCTTTGTATTATCAAAATTGTCATTCTTGCCAGTGTTAACTAGTACGACCATTGTTACAAGTCTAGCGCCGTGGTCCAAAAGAACAGAGGCGGAAGGTCGACTCTAGGTGCGAGGTTCAGGGCAGGTACTCGTAGGACCATTAAGGGTTCCTTGAAGGGTCTAATTTTAATGCAGACCCCTCGATTTAGACCCAAACCCCGAGCCTTAGACCCTAACCCCAAACCCTAACTCCCCGGAACCCCAAATCCCAAGTAGTGTCAGGGTTGCTATAAGGGTTACTATCAGGTCACTATAGAGTTTCTGTGAGGCATACTGTAAAGATTTCTAGGCCCTTCAGGTGCCGACCCAGGGCGGGGGCTCTGCGCGAGCGCTTCGCGAGCTTGCTGCGCAGCTTTTGCAGCACCCCGACTGCGCTGGGCTCCGTTGGGGCTGTGTGGCTTCGGGACTTTAGAGACTTTTTAAACTGGGGCGCTAGCAGTGTTGAGCTCACATCTGCACTGTGCTACATTCACTTATATACCACGCTGAGTGATCCTTCAGAATGCCTTGTACATTACAATCTTATTTTGCTGTGTTTCCTGGAACTATTGCCATCGTTAAATATTATGTTGTTAGGACTGCTACTATTACTTTTATTGTTGTGAGTGTTAGTATTCGTAACTAGTACTGGCAGTATTGGTATGGGCATTCGTATTCGTATTCGTACGGTTATTATTATTATTATTATCATTATTAGCAATATTAATATTTAAAAGTAGTTGTGGTAGTAGTGCTAGTAGTAGTAGTAGTAGTAGTAGTAGTAGTAGTAGTAGTAGTATTCGTAGTCGTATTTGTATTCGTATTCATGTTCATATTCGTATTATTATTATCATCATTATTCTTTTCATTATGTAGTCGCTATTAGTTGCCCTTGCTCGTGTTGTTGGTGTTTCTGGAACAGACGAGACCCAGCTTCATGAATCTTCCAACAAGCCCAGGCGGCCAGCGGGCTCCCGGGGGAGCGGTCTCCGGCCTCATTACCCGCCGCTTAGCCGCCCTGTGCAGAGACTCCTTGAAGAACTCTTAGCCTGGATCCTTTATGTATGTTGCACATGTTAGCATGCTGCTTGCTGTAGGGACGTTCAAAATGACATATTCATTTTCACCCCCCCCCTAGACGAGAAGTAGGGGATCTTTATGTGGGATTTTAACACTAGGGATCAGCATTCATCTAGTGCCAGGGTAAGAGTTTAGGGGCTGAGGGTTTGTTCGGATGCAGGGTTTAGAGTGTATTAGCAGATATGGGTGGTGTGGAAAAGGCGATAGTGATACATTTACATGCATATTAATATGACAAATGATACGAGAAAGCAGACACGTGGAAATGCAACCTGCGCTGAGAATTTAAGACACACACACCCATAGCTAAATCAGAATTTTGGAGGCAAGAAACGAGTCCCGTCTATGTGTTTCACATAGACATGTAATGTATTGTGCTGTAATGTAATGTAATGTAATGTAATGTAATGTAATGTAATGTAATGTAATGCAATGCAATGCAATGTAGTGTCGTGTCGTGTAGTGTGTAGTGTAATATAATGTAAATGTAAATCTAAATCTCAATCTAGATCTAATGTAATGTAATGTCTGTCTGCCGTCCGTCGGTCTGTCTGTCTGTCTGTCTGTATGTCTGTATGTCTCTATGTCTGTATGTCTGTATGTCTGTCTGTACGTATGTATGTCTGT